TCAGCAACCCAGGACGACTTCCTGCTCTCCCCATTGGAGTTGGTATTTCTTTTTTAAAATCCTTTACTTGGGCAAATTTCAAAAGATCTTTTCAAGATTGTTGCTTGGGTTGGTTTTAATTTTTTTTTAAACCTCATTCATTGACTGGATACAATTTGTGGTTGTTGGGTTGTTGATGTGAACTTTCATTCGGTTGTGCGAAAGCTCGTAGGAGTGTATTTGAATGTGTGTGCCCATGTGCTTCAAGACTGGATTTTGGATTTCTCTTTGATTAGCAGTGATGTTTCAGCTTTGAAGGGAAACTATGTTTTCCTGATCAGAATAATTCAAGCATTCTAAAAGCACCTGGAAGAGAAAAGGACGATCCAGGTCTTGACATCATTTCTGTCCTCAGTGCCAAGGATGTCAGGGGTGGGGGTGGGGTTCTGCTACACGCACCATTTTGGTTTTTCACTTAAGTCAATGATCATTGGGGGAACCACTTAAGAGATTCTTGGTAGGATTCCTAATGGGATGGAACTATGCTTGTAAAATAGTATCACTCAAGAATCGCTAGTGCAGGGAGCGGTCCCCTTGTACAGCTCCATCCTCTGTTGGGAGTGGGTTGAATTTATCCAGAACTATTGCACACTTCCCGTGACCTTACTACCATCCTGCCTCTTTTGTGGTAGAGATGAAGCTTGAAGTGGAGTGACTTAATACAATAACTTGCTTCATTCTACCATGTGCTCTTGCTAACAGACGGGATTTCCACCACAGAGAGTCACTTTTTTTTCTTCTTGACCTCCTCTGATATGGATCCTGGGTACAATAAACGAAGGTGTGGGGCACAGACTGCCTCTCTTTAATCAGCACAGAGAAGATGCTGATGGCTGGGAAAGACATCTTTACCAAAGCCAGACTCTCAACCGCCCAATTTCCACCTTCTGTGAAAATGCGTAATGAGAAATTTATTATCTGATTCTGGATCTGAAACGATGATTATTACAGAGGAAGAAGGTGATAGTCACGGCATATTAGATGTGTTTATTTCCTTTCTCTTCTTCTCTTTCATGTAGTGCTTTGCTACTTTGGAAACTAGTTACTCTGCCTTTATGAGTGGTGTGAGAGTTTTTTATTAGGCCATAGGTGATTGTTGGGCTTTTTACCATTTCCATAAAATCATCAAGAAATGTAACGTGTAGAGTGGCCAGAAGCGCAATGACAGCATTAAAGTGATGGGATTTTAATAAATGCCTCACATTTAAAGGAGAAGAAAATAGGAAGAGAAGACTATTTAATAAGACACACAGGTATAAAATAGGTTAGAAGCCTTTCTTTCTATTTAAAAAAACCCATTAGTACATTAAAAAGGGGAAATAAAAAGTTAATAAGAAAATCTCTAGGAGAAGCCACTTGAAGACATCCAACTTCTATTTGATATTAAGATCACATTTATATCCACTGATATATATTTTATGATAAATACCTTAATATGCATGGAATTATATATGACATGCATTATATCTATATGAGATATGCTGTATGATATATAATGCATATATACTAAGATTCTTGTATATATATGATTCTACATATGATTGATGACCTTAGTATATTTAGGATCATATATTTATTATGATCATGTAATATGCATGCATATAGCTTGAAATTTATATGCATTATTTAGTTGCAGAAGATCATAAACATCCAATCTACATGTCTGTTTAAAAACCTACAAGGCACAAACTACTGTTTGGGCTCATTTCTACTCCAAACTAGAACTAATTGATGAAAGTTTGAATAAATACCATGAATCAACCAGCTTATTATGTGTTGTATAATTGTATTCAAGGCCAATCCATATAGACCCTAGACATAGTACATTTTGAAGTGTGTGGAATTTACACTCAACAGATGTTTGAAGATTATTGATGAGTTATTGAGTCAGTAAACTTTCTGTATATCATGCAATCAAAGTGGAAAGTAGAGACACTAGTGGGAATGTGGAGGTTGAAGTAAAGCAGCACAGCTTTCAAAATGGTTGAAACACGACCATTTCTCTCCACCATGCCCTCTCTGTGGCTCTGTACAGTTTTCTTGAGCCTAGTTCATTACAATAGTTTTATAAATGAAATATGGAACTTCTTTATAGTATTCTCCAGCCTTTCTCATTCTGTCTGGAGTACTGAGAATCAAACCTAGCACACTGCATGGACTAGGCAGTGCTACATCCTCACTAGAGTAACAGATTGTCAATACAAGGGTTAAAATAGTGAGAAATGAGCTGGTATTGGTGGCTCATGCCTGTAATCCTAACTCATCAGGAGGCTGAGCTCTGAGAATCACAGTTTCAAGGCAGCCCAGGTAGAAAAGCGTGCGAAACTTTTATCTCCAATTAACTACTTCCACCCCCCCCCGCCGTCCCCCCGCCATAAAAAACCCAGAGGTAGAGCTGTGGTTCAAGTGGTAGAGTGCTAGCCTTGAGCAAAAAAGCTCAGGGACAGTGCCCAGGCCCTGAACTGAAGCCCTAGGCCTGGCGCACCCGCGCACACACACACGAAATGAAAAGAGAGAGAAACGTTTCCTCCTTTCTAGTCAGGAAATAGCTTAAAAGAGTCAAATTTCTGGTTCTTACCCAGTTTTAAAAATCTATTCCTTAATTATCTTTAGTTGTACAAAAGCTTTTTTTTTTTTTGCCGGTGGTGGGGCCTGAACTCTGGGCCTGGGTGCTGTCCCTCAGCACTTGAGCCACAGCGTCACTTCTGGCTTTTTTCTTTTTGCTTATGTGGTGCTGAGGAATCGAACCCAGGGCCTCATGCATGTGAGGCAAGCGCTCTATCACTGAGCTACCTTCCCAGCCTAGGAAATAGATTTCTGTCCGTCCGTCCGTCTGTCTTTCTGGTCCCCTAATACTTTTCATCATGGAAGAGAGAAGGACAAACACATGATCTATTTATTAGGTGTTTAATTTCTGAGCACTGGCTATAATAACTTATTGGTGAATCTTTGGCAGTAGGAGGTTTGAATTCAGTCTCTCACTGTTGCTTGGCTGGTGCTCTACCATATCACCTTATCTCTAGCCTAGCTTTTTGCTGTTTCATTTGGATTTAGGAGTCTAACAAACTGTTCTTCCCAGCCTGGCCTCGACCTGTGATCTCCTTTGGATCACAGCCTCTGCAGAGCTTTGATCACTGGTGTGAGCCACAGGCACCCAACAAATGATTGCTTTGTATGTGTAAGCTATAATCTATTTGAGGATAGATTGCAAGAAATGATTTTTTTTGGGGGGGTCAGCTGTGGGGCTTGAACTCTGTGCCTATGCACTGTCCCTGAGCATTTCTGTTTAAGGCAAATGCTCTACCACTTGAGCCACAGTGCCACCTCTGGTTTTCCGGTGGTTCATTGGAGATAAGAGTCTTACAGACTTTCCTTCTATGGGCTGGCTTTGAACTGCGATCCTCAGATCTCAGCCTCCTGAGTAGCTAGGATGACAGGCATGAGCCACCAGTGCCCAGAAAGAAATGTTTTTTTAAAAAATTATATTTATTTACATAACAACCCAAATATAAGACAGCAAGAAATCTTAACAATAGTGACATATTGAAAACTTTTAAAAGTTTTCAGTAGTAAAACAACATTGCTTTTGGACAGGAAGAGTCACTGTATTTAAATGCGATAATTGTCCTTGTTAGCGGGCATATATTAGTGGATATATTAGGCAGTGACATTTACCTACTGTGGACAGCCAATATCTACGCATCTCCTTATTTCATCTTTTAGACTGATTCTGAGCTCATGAGGAAGTTGAAATTGCTGTTTTATTTTATTGCAAAGGTGGTGTACAGAGGGGTTACAGTTACATATATAAGGTAATGAGTACATGCCTTGTTGAACTGTGCTACCCCCTCCCTCGTTTTCTCCCATTTTTCTCCCTGCTCGGGGTGCTCAGATTTGGAAGTAATTTGCCTAAGATTTCAGTCCTGCCACACGCTCGGCTCATCAAGGGTTCTCATTTATCCTAATTAGTGTGTTTCTTGGAGGTAGAGCTTGTCTGGTTTGCACACAATGTGCGCACTGACTCTGACGTAGCATGGTGCTCTGAGAGCTGGGCTTGCGCTGGTCTTTGTATGCAGGAGACTTGTGTTTCCCAGGCTGGTGGAGATCGGGGTGGCTAAGTTCCTTCTGTCTCCTCTTCACCTCCAGTGATGCAAACCTAAGGGATGGGGTGGGGGGACAAGTTCTAAGTATCTCCCTGAAAGTCTGGAAATTGGAATTTTGATGTTAAATACTGCTCATTTTAAACTTGGACAGCTGAGCTAAAAAAACGTCATCACCCTCTGTAGTTGAAGGCTTGGTCTGTGTGGCCTGGTGCTTTGTAACCTTGGAATTTTCCCTGCTGCTTTCTCTGATTTGTGCCACACAGAAGTCCAGAAGAAAATGAGTAGGGTTGACAAGGAAATAGATTTTTATTTTTTGGGTCCGGTTGTGGGGTTGGGCCTGGGCGCTGTCCCTCAGCTCTTCAGCTCAAGGCTAGCGCTCTACCACTTGAGCCACAGCACCACTTCTGGCTTTTTTTTTCTTTTTGCTTATGTGGTGCTGGGGAATCGAACCCAGGACCTCATGCATGCAAGGCGAGTGCTCTACCGCTGAGCCACCTTCCCAGCCCAGGAAATAGATTTCTGTCTGTCTGTCCGTCAGACTGTCCATCTGTCCATCCGTCCATCTATTGGTCTGTCTGTCTAGTCTATCAATCTTTGTGCCACTCCTGGGGCTTGAACTCAGGGCCTGCGTGCTGTCCCTTAGCTTTTTTCAGTCAAGACTAGTGCTTTACCACTTGAGCCAGTGTTCCACTTCCGGCTTTTTGGTGGTTAGTTGGAGATAAGGGTCTAAGACTGCAAATCACGGTTCTCAGATCTCAGCCTTCTGAGTAGCTAGGATTCCAGGTTCGAGCCACCGGCATCTGGCTCTCTTGCTGTTTTATTATCCAACATGTCTGACGTTATTTGTCTTCCAATCAGGTGTTTTTGGTCACGGTCTGGAATTTTGAACTCTATATGATCCCCCTGGCATTACTCCTGCTTTTTGTCTACAATTTCATCGGACCTATGAAAGGAAAGGTCAACAGTACACAGGATAGCCAGGTAAGCAGAGATTCACACGGTACTGCTGTTTATCTTGCATCAACCACCACCACCACCACCACCACCATCACCACCACCATCACCACCACCACCACCACCACCATCACCACATGTTGCTCAAATGTTGTTTGAACCATGAGGAACATCCCCAAATATATTCCTGACACCTGCTCATTAACACTGGAGCCTGGGCTATTCTTCTCTCCTTAGGCCTTTCAACACAGGAGCCCGAGGAAACTCATAAAGGCACAGGAAAGCCTGTGACTTAATTTGATTATTTGCAGCCAAATGTGTTTTCTACTGTCTAATGGAAGGTGTGGTCTCAAAGAGAAAAGTCACTGTGACCACAAACTCGGCACAAACGGAAGAGTGCAGCTTCTGGCCCTCACAGAGCAAGAAAAACTGTTCTTAGATGGTAGAGGTTAGCGATGCTTTCCTTCGGCTGCACACCTGCAGAGGGTGCTCGCCTCATAGCTTTGTTGAGAGTTCACAGTTTTTATGTAGATTGTACTTCTTGTTTACGGTCTTGCCACCGTGTCCCTGAACTTTAAACGTGTGATTACACGAGAGGGTTATAGCGGACCTTAAATAGGCCAATGCTTAAGCCCCGTAGAAAGAAGTTAAGTGGGTGCATGAGCTTCATTTGCCTCGTGTAACTGGCAGTCAATCTGTACTAATGAATTGTGGGTGTGGGGGGGTGTCTCTTTTCAGGACAGCACAGACCTAGAGGAGGAGGAAGATGATGATGATAAGGTACGTGAACTCGTCCTGAGAGAGCTGGAAAAGGGCATTCATGCTGGCAGCAGAGCTATACAGAGTGCACAGCATAGTAAGACTGTTTGAAATCCATAAGTTCTGGATATGTAGGATGGAATAGCTCGAGATAGGCTTGGAGACCTGGAGGGTGAATGCAATCAAGGCACGTGGGGGTGGACATAGAGGGGTCAGGCTGACACCTCCCTGCGCCGTTGTTCAACTAGTTGATGCAAATAAAATGGTGGGGGAAAGAACCTCACCAAAACGAAATAAAACAGCATAGAATAATTGTACCATAAGTTTGCCTCCTTATCCAACTGTGATAGCAGTAGCATTTGTCTTACGGATCTTACCAGTTTTATCTCTTTCAATTGATAGATCCTAATTGTGTATCTTTCTGGAAGACAGAATGGACTGTGTAAAAGTCTGCGCGCTTTTCTAGGACTGTCAAGAGTGGGGTGGTGAGAAGGGGTAGAGCAAGAAATGTGTCCTGAAAAGCATACCAAGAAGCCTGTGGCTGGATGTAAGCCCAGATCAGGCCTCCCCTTTGTAGATAAAAGGCAGCCCAGGGGAAGTCGGGAGAAAGGCAGGGAGATCGCCGCTCCGTGGGGCTGTGCGTGCACTACGGTGCGGTCAACCCACTTCCGAGCCTGTCACTCGTCCAGCTGTTGCTGGCAGCGTTTGCAGCTCCATGTCTTGTGTACATCTGTCCCTTTTCTCCTCCTGGGACAGCCTCTCAAATCTGCTGCTTTTGTTGTCATTACACTTGCAGACAAACCTTCTGGAAGAAAATGGGGGGGGGAATAGCAGAATGCCAAGTGAGATATTTCTAAGCTTCCTGGGTTTGCAGTCCCTTAAGAAACCAAAAACCAAAAAACAAAACCTGTGGATCTATGGGGCTGGCGTGCGTCGCAGGGAGGAGGCTGGGGGAGGGGGAGAGAAGGGACTGAAAGGCGAACCGTAAGAGCTAGCATGCCAGCAAATCCTCATGCAATAAAATTTCCATCCATGTCATCGAGGGCCTTAAAAATTAATTAAGCACACCAGATGGTTTTTTTTGCCCATTTGAAGAAAATGGGTGGATTACAATGTAAATCCTATTTGCTGTGCTCCAGATGACCATCACTGGCCAAAGGATGAAACCAAGTTACATAGTTACAAAGAAATCCACATTTTCCAGGATAGAGGTCCCATCCAATGCAACCTGCTCTCTGAGGAACTAGTAGGAATGGTTTCTGGATGATAAAGTCTTTGAATCTCAATGGTCATGGCTACGCCAAGTGCATACCCAGAGGTATTCACAGAGAAAATGCTGAGTGCCAGTGAACTTGTTGTTCGCTCATTGGGAGGGTGCCCATCACAAGTCTGGATCTTCTTGTCCTTTGGACTGACTTGTTATTCAGCCCCCTCCAAGGATGTGACAGATTCTGAATGCCTCATAAACCTCAGGAAACACTCACTGATTTATTCTAAAGAGTGAAACTCTGGGCCCAGCCAGATGGCCTTGGTGGTCAGGGGAAGGTAGGAGGTGCGAGCGTGAGGCTTCTGCCCTTCCTCCAGGCCCAGTACCAACCTGAACACAGCCTTGTACTGTTTGGCTTGTTTGTGGCTGTGTAGGAAGGCAAGGATGGTTCAATCACCACCCTCCTGATGTCTCAGCCTCCAGCCATCTCCTTTTTCCAGAAGTCTAGGGCTTGTCTGCCAGTCATGTGTGTCTCTGGTTGCATGGCCGGTCTCCCTCCCAACCAGTCCCCCCCCCCATCATTAATGGCTCTTCTAAAATCCAGTTCATGGGATTTTATTCCTAATGGGACTCTTAACAGGAAGAAGAGGAGGATTATGGCAGTCTTTGGTGTGCTTGACACTGGACTAAATCAAGGAAACAGGATCTATTAATTAGCTTTAATGGCTCAGATGTGGCTCTCATGTTGACTCATCCTGGTTGATAAAGCTTTTACTAGATTTGGTGCCTCAGATAGACTAATGCCAGGCACAAAAACATTGTTTGGGGAATCGAGTGATACTTCCAGCTCAGCAACACATGTCACAGTCCATTCTTCAGTGCTTTTGAGTGAGGAGGAGGGGCTGGCACATGGGATCCGGTAGCAATAGCAAAATCCAGTTGTCCCAGAATTTACTGAGACTATAAAGTGTTGGGCATTTGTTTCCTACCCATTCCTTTTCACTGGTACAACGTCATTCTAAAAAACGTTTTTTTGAGAGCCTGCTCTGTATGGCATGCGTGAAAAAACATGAATGTGAAGGTGCCGAGCCAGGAGACCCTCTTGAGTTTCCTCTCTAAATTTGTGAAGGAAATGTGTTCTGAGAGCTGTAATGCAACAAGGTCTGCTAATCTTCCAGAGGAAGGTATTTCAAAAAGAACAGGCACTGGTGGCTCACACCTGTCATCCTGGCTATTTAGAAGGAGGCTGGGATCTGAGGATCTTGGTTTGAAGCCAGTTCAGACAGTAAAGTCTGTGAGATTATTATCTCCAATTAACCACCAAAAATTTAGACATGGGGTTGTGGGTCAAATAGTAGAGTGTCAGCCTTGGGCAAGCATGCTAAAGGACAGGACTCAGACCCTGCATTCATGTCCCAGAACTGGCACAAAACGAAGTAAATAAAAGCAAGAGAATTTGAGGAGATGAATTAGTAGCTTCTGCTACTACAGTCACTAACTTGGAAGGTTAATTCAGACATTATGGTGTAATACATTTTTTTCACTTGTTTTGCCAGTACTGGGATTTGAATCAAGGGCCTCATGCTCACTTTGCTTGTGTCCTACTACTTGAACCACACCTCCCATTCAGCTTTTTTGTTGGTTACTTTGGAAGTGAAGTCCCAGAGACTTTTCTGTCTGGCCTTTCTTTGAACTATGATCCTCTTGTTCTCAGTCTCTTGACTAGCTAGGAATACAGGTGAGAATTCCTGGTGCCTGGCCATAAATTTTATTTTATTTTTTAAAAACAAACAACCCCAAAGGCCTCATTAACTTAAAGTGAGGTGCAAAAAAATCATGATTTCAACTGCAAAAGTTTCTCTTTCCCTTTCTACATTCTAGAGTGATTTTAGGCATGGAGGATAAAACCAAACAGAACAAAACATACTTCGTGCAACTCTTTTTCACTCGGGCAATTCCAAGAGCTTTCGGAGCTTTGGCCATGAGCCCAGGACACAAACCAAATATATATTTCTTATTATATCACAAAAAATCACACTAGGCAAACTTCTACTTTTTTTTTTTATACCAAAGCTCAGAAGTGAGAGATTTATCTCTTTTGGCCCAAGTTGGTTTAAATGAGCTGCTCCTGGTTGAAGGCCCCATCCCCCATTTTGAGAAAGTTGTGACCCAATATCTTTGGGCTATCTGATAAAGGAGTATTTTCAAAGGCAACAAAATCAGGCCATAGATATTTGTGTGTGTATGTGTGTGTGTGTGTGTGCGTGTGTGCATGTGCTGGTTCTTAGGCTTGAACTCAAGGGCTGGGCATTGTCCCTGAGCCTCTTTGTATTCAAGGCTATTGCTCTACCACTTGAGCCAGAGTGCCACTTTCTGAGTAGTTTATTGGAGGTAAGAGTCTCCTGGACTTTCCTGCCCAGACTGGCTTTGAACTGTGATCCTCAGATCTCAGCCTTCTGAGTAGCTAGGATTACAGGTACCCAGATGATGAGACCATTTCTAAGATGTTTTCATTCAAGTATTCTAAAATGACTTTTTAAAATAGCCATTGCATTACCATTATTATTATTATTATTACTATTATTTTACTATACTTGAGTCCTCAATGTTGCATTTCCCTGCAATATCTAGATGGAGGTAATTGAAACTCTTAAGTTTGACTCCTCTTTCTGCCCCTTCTGCTGACTGCACCTTCCTGCAACTTCCTAGGAAGTTGGCCTTGATGCTCCCTTCTCTTTTGAGAGTTGCAGAACTAGATTTAGCTCAGCCTGAAGTTCAAAGTCAAGACTGCTGGAGGGTGCATTCCCTAGAGGGAGCTACACATCATTCTGTCTCTGTGTAGTAGCTTGCTCCACTTCAAGTGCTCATCCTAGGCCTGTGCCCAGAGTGACTGGTGATTCTTCACCCCGGCGTTCTGTCTGGAGGTGTTCTCCACACTGGGGGCTTCTCATGCCTCATGTTAGACAAGACAGACCTTGCTCCTGGGATGTGTAACAGATCCGTGCCAGGAGGGACTGTTTACGAGTGATAAACACTCGGCCATTCTGGGCACAACCGGAGAAGAAGAGAAACTCCTTTCTATCCCCAAACAATTCATCTTGACGGTGACACTCCTTAATTGCTAGCTCCTCTTCTATCTAGTGCCATCCCAGAAGTCTCTGGAAGATGAAAGGCTGCCTCTCCCTGCCCCTCCCCCATCCCTTCTTGTGTCTGTTTCTGAAGCACAGAACAGAACGCAGTCTGGGGTCTGTCACACATTTACTGTCTGGAACAGAGATGGTTGTAAAATGACATCAGAGCTTCTTGTTCCTTCTCGTTGCTGAAAGCACACGATGGTAATGTGTGTTCGAAAAACCACAATTTTGTCTTTTCTTTCATGAACTTTTAGTGATGGCATAAAAGTTTTGGGTAACTAGATTTCTTTTTTTTTTTTTGCTTTTGAGAGATGAAACATTCAGACTCACCTTTGAAGAGAGGAAATCCTTCTTTCTTACACCTGATGGCCCATGTAAGAAATTGCTTGTTATAAGTATAGTTCGCTAGGGACCTCAGAACAAACAGATAATGGGTAAGTTCAGCCACCAGCAATCGGTTGACATTTCCTATTTGTATTAGATTCCATATGTGGAATCCTTCCGTGTGGGTCTTATTTGTACCGATGGATTACAATGAAAATTGCATTAATTTTCTACACAGTAAAGGTCAGTAATTGAAGCATGAACCAAGAAACTATTGTGTAGGATGCTGTATCTCTCACTTGGGAAAGGTCAGACAAGACAATAATATCTTGTTTACATTGCGAAAGGTAGACATA